CTGAGTATTTCAATGAGTTTTTGGGAAATTTTTTGAAAGAAAAAGGTATGGTTCATCAGTCTACTTGTCGGGATACTCCTCTCGGATTGTCAGTTTAGTTACTAAATAGGTGTCGCTGCTATTTCACCGGGAGTGAATGACGCTAGGGCTATTTTCCACAAAATGGGATTGCTGAAAGAAAAAATAGGCATTTACTTGAAGTAGCACGTGCTATAATGTTTTCCATGCATGTTCCAAAATATTTATGGGGGGGAAACGGTTCTCACAGCGACCTACCTAATAAATAGAATGCCTACTAAAGTTTTAAATTTCAAAACTCCCATTGAGTCCTTTAAAAATGTTTTTCCAACATCCCGCATATATTCTGATCTACCTCTCAAGGTTTTTCGGTGTACTACTTACGTTCACACACCTAGTCATTTTAGGTCGAAACTTGACCCTTGCGCTATTAAATGTATTTTCTTAGGCTATGCTTCAGGTCAAAAAGGTTATAAATGTTTTAATCCTYAGACAAAAAAACTTTTTTTGAGTATGAATGTGTCCTTTTTAGAAAAGAAACCATATTTTATCCAAAATTCTCTTCAGGGGGAGAAAATGAATTTGGAAGATAATTTTTGGGATATTTCTCTTCCTAGTCCCATATGTTCGGATTTTACTAGTCCTTCGATGCCAAGTATAGAAACTGTCCAATCAGGGGGAGAAATACTACAAAACGATTCTACGAATCCTAGTTYTGAGTTAAAGTTTTATACTAGAAGGAAATTCAATCAGAGRAACCAAGATCAAATAGTTACTCCTTCACAAAACCAATATGAGACTTCGAGAAATGAAACTGAATTATCTGATAAYCCTCCCTCTTCAACTTTGTCTAGTAATCCCGGTAATCCCTCTTCTTCAAATTTTAAAAATAATTCACTTGTTGTCTCTGACCTTGATGTTCCCATAGCCATTAGAAAAGACGTTCGAAATTGYACCAAATATCCTATTTCAAACTACATTTCATATGAAAAACTATCAAATAGTCATAAGGCCTTCACATCTAGGATAACTAATTTGTTTGTTCCAAGGAATATACATGAAGCTTTAGAAGATCCAAATTGGAAACTAGCTGTTATGGAGGAGATGAATGCTCTAAAGCAAAACARTACTTGGGAGATAGTAGAGTTGCCAAAAGATAAGAAACCAGTAGGATGTAAATGGGTGTTTACCGTAAAGTGTAATGCAGATGGTAGCATCGAGAGATACAAGACTAGATTGGYAGCTACATGTTTCACTCAAACCTACGAGATAGATTATCAGGAAACGTTTKCTCCTGTTGCAAAAATTAACTCTATTRGAGTTCTTTTGTCTCTTGCAGTTAATTCAGATTGGCCTCTCCACCAGCTTGATGTGAAAAATGTTTTTCTTAATGGCAACCTTGAGGAAGAAGTTTTTATGAATTTGCCTCCAGGTTTTGAAAAGGAACTCGGATGGAATAAAATATGCAGATTAAAGAAATCTCTCTATGGCCTCAAACAGTCTCCTAGAGCTTGGTTCRAACGATTTGGAAAAGTCATATCGAGTTATGGATTTCTTCAAAGTCAAGCTGACCATACTATATTTTATAAACACTGTCAGAATAATAAAATCTCAATTTTGATTGTTTATGTAGATGATATTATTCTCACTGGTGATGATGAAGCAGGACTAGCCGATCTTAAGAAAAATCTGGCAAGTGAGTTTCAAATCAAAGACTTGGGAACATTAAAATATTTTCTAGGGATGGAATTTGCGAGATCGAAGAAAGGTATATTCGTTAATCAAAGAAAATATGTTCTTGACTTACTTGGAGAAACAAGATTGCTTGGTTGCCGGATCGMAGAAACTCCTRTTGAACCTAACTTGAAATTACAAGCAGCAAACGTAGAAGAAATAAAGGATAGGGAACAATACCATAAACTTGTGGGAAGATTAATTTATCTGTCACATACGCGACTAGATATTGCATTTGCTGTAAGTATGGTAAGTCAATTCATGCATGCACCTGAACCAACTCATTTTGAAGTTGCCTAAAAAATCTTAAGATATTTGAAGGGAACTCCTGGAAAAGGTATTTTATTCRAAAAGAATAACCACTTCCAAGTAGAAGTTTATACTGATGCAGATTGAGCTRGAAGTACTACCAATAGAAGATCTACTTCTAGTTACTGTTCCTTTGTTGGAGGAAATCTAGTTACATGGAGGAGCAAAAAACAAAATGTAGTGGCTAGGAGTAGTGCTGAAGCAGAGTTTAGAGCATTGGCTCATGGAATTTGTAAAGGTATATGGATCAGAAGGATGCTTGAAGAATTGAAGATTCCTCAGACGACACCTATACGGATTTATTGTGACAATAAGTCTGCCATATCTATAGCTCATAACCYTGTGCTACATGACCGAACCAAACATATCGAGGTTGAAAAACATTTTATTAAAAAGAAGATTGATGCAGGTGCAATATATATCCCTTATTTCCGACAATAGAGCAAATTGCCGATGTTTTAACTAAGRGACTTCCAATGAAACAATTCGACGGTTTAATCAGCAAGCTGGCCATGGACGACATCTTCAAACYAGCTTGAGGGGGAGTGTTGGATTTATCAGTATTTGTGTAAATATTAGTTGTCAATATTAGTTGTTAATATTTAGCCTTTATGGTATTTATTGCTTTCCTTGTTTGTAGTAGGTCATTCTCCTATATAAGAAGACCTAAGTTACATGTTTGAATATAGAAGAATATTTTTATTCTCTCAAATTCACAGTAATCAATGCCACTTTATCACCAGCCGCTCTTGCTTATGTAGTTGGATGCAAGACCTCTAAGCAGGTTTGTGATACTTTAGTCAAACATTATTGTTCTAATTCTCGAGCAAATGTTGTAAATCTCAAATCTGATTTACAAACCATTATCAAGAAGCGTTCTGAGACTATTGATCAGTACATTCAGCGTATCAAAGAATTAAAGGATGAATTGGCAAACTTTTCCGTTGTAATTGATCATGAGGATCTTGTTATCTACACCCTAAATGGTCTTCCTGCGGATTACAACACTTTCCGCACCTTGATGCGTACACGTTCTTAAATTGTAACGTTTGAAGAGTTACATATTCTGCTTGTATCTGATGAAGCCGCCATTGATAAGCAGGTGAAGCGCGATGAATCTTTTGCTGCTTCGACTGCTCTTCTTGCTAATACACCAAATTCCTCACGGAATCAGAATTTTAATTCTAACATGGAACGTRGATGAGGCTTTTCCGACAAGTATAAAGTCTCAAATCGAAACAGGTCTTCAAGTTTCAGTATGTCTTCTGGAAATTTCGGTCGTGGTCGTAGTAGTCYTAGTATTCTTCCACTCAGCAATTCTGCTGGTAGAGTGCCATTTGATACATCTTCTCAACGTCTAATATGTCAAATATGTCACCGTGTTGGACACTMTGCACTCGATTGCTTTAATCGGTTGAATTATAGTTATCAAGGTCGCCATCCTCCAGCTCAGTTGGCCGCTATGGTTGCCAGCCACAACTATGCCAATTTTGCTGCTCTTAATACTAATTGGTTAGCTGATTCTAGGTGCAACGCTCATGTTACTTCTSATTTGAGCCAATTATCTACTGCCTCTGAATATTCGGGTGAAGATTAAGTTGGGGTTTGTAGCAGTTAGTCTTTGCCGATAGCTCACACAGGTTGTGGTGTACTTCACACTTCTCGTTCTCCTTTACATCTTCGTAATATCTTACATGTTCCCTCAATTTCCTCCAACCTTGTTTCTGTGCACCAACTTTGTKTCGATAATAATTGTCTCATTATCTTTGATTGTAACCAATTTTCCATTCAGGACAAATCTTCGGCAAGATTCTTTTTTGAGGCCCTAGTATTAATGGCTTGTACCCTATATCTTCCCCTGTTCTTGCTTCTAAGGTCGCTCATGTTGGTAATAATATTTCTTCATCCATTTGGCACAATCGATTAGGCCATCCATGTGACTCTACTCTTAATTTCGTTCTTCGATCTTTACATTTACCATCATCTAAAACTTCATGTACYTGTGAACATTGTTTGTATGGCAAATTACATAGATTGTCTTTTTCGGTTTCTTCGTCTGCTTCCATGTATCCTTTAGAGTTAGTTCATTCTAATGTATGGGGTCCTGTCCTTACAACTTCAATAACCGGTTTCAATTACTAGGTCTCGTTTGTTGATGTTTTCTCCAAATATACTTGGTTTTATCCTATTTCTTTAAAATCTGCTGTGTCCTCTATGTTTAAAACCTTTAAGCCACTTGTTGAGAATATGCTTAACACTCGTATTAAAATCTTTCACACTGATGGGGGTGGGGAATTTATTAACCAAACCCTCGGCTCTTATCTTTAGGATCATGGCATCTTTCATCAAAAGTCTTGTGCCAAGACACCTCAACAAAATGGTGTTGTTGAGCGCAAACACCATCATCTTGTTGAAACTGCCTTAACCTTAATATCTCGTGCTTCCTTACCCATTACATTTTGGCCTTTTGCACTTAGTACCGCTGTCTTTCTTATAAACCGACTGCCATCTTCTCATCTAAACAACAAATCACCTTTCAAATTACTCTCTCAYAAACCACCTGACTATTCCTTTCTTAAAACATTCRGGTGTGCCTGCTATCCACTTCTAAAACCATATAACTCTCACAAATTGGAACCAAAATCCGCAAAATGTGTCTTTTTGGGCTATTCATTGGATTATAAAGGATATTCTTGTTATAACGTGAGCAATGGCTGACTCTATAGTTCTCGCATGTTATTTTTTACGAATCCTCTTTTCCTTTCCCCTCTCCCACTTTACATCCTTCTTCCTCTGCATCTTCCATATCTAAGTCTTCACATCTACCTTTATCTCTATTTCTATTGCCTTCTCTTTATTCATCTTCTACACCACAATCTGTTGCACCTATTGGTACTATTGCTGCTACTTCTCATTCTCAATCTTCTCACTTGGTTGGCATGGACTCTTTGTACGCTGGTGTTTTGGGTTCTTCTACTGATTTTCCATTGGGGGCTAGTCTTCCTACTATCAATACTGAGGTTACTATTGATTCTTTACCACATGTTGTTTCTCATACTKAGGGTACTACTGCTACTGTTTCTGATCYAGCTCCTTCTCATACACTTGTGGTTCCTTCTAATAATCATCTTATGCAAACTAGGAGTAAGTCTGGGATTTTTATGAAAAGGTTGTTCCTTGTCACTATACCATCTACTCAAAAAGAACCTTCATCTTTTACTAAGGCTTCAAAAATTCTAGTTTGGCAACAGGCCATGGAAGAAGAATTTAATGCCTTATTTCAGTAGCATACATGGGTTTTAACCCCTTTACCTCACGGCAAACATGCTATTGGATGCAAGTGGGTGTATCAAATTAAATGTCATCCGGATGGTAGTGTCGCCCATTATAAGGCACGCCTTGTTGCCAAGGGCTATCATCAAGAGGAGGGTATTGATTATGATGAGACTTTCAACCCAGTTGTAAAGAAGCCAACGATTCATATAATTATTTCTTTGGTTGCACAATATGGTTGGTAGCTCCATTAGTTGGATGTTAAAAATGCGTTTCTTCATGGAGAGCTTCAGGAGGAGGTTTATATGCATCAACCTCAACTATTTGTTGATCCTCTTCATCCATACCATGTCTGTAAGCTTGTCAAATCCCTCTATGGTCTTAAATAGGCACCTCGGGCCTGGTTTGATTATTTTACATCTCACTTGCTTACACTCGGTTTTGAAGCTTCGGTTTCTGATTCCTCTCTATTTGTGAGGCATATTGGTGACTCTATTACTTATCTTCTTCTATACGTCGATGATATCATTGTGACTGGTAATAGTCCTTCTTATATCACAACACTTATCTCTCAGCTGCAGCTTCATTTTGAAATGACCGACCTGGGAGCTTTGAAATATTTTTTAGGCCTTGAGATATCTTGTTCTTCGCAGGGAATTCTTGTTCATCAAACCAAATACACTAGAGATATTCTCCAACGGTTTGGCATGCTTGGTGCTAAATCTTGTGCTACCCCTCTTGCCTTGGTTACTGCTGCCACTACTGGCCCATCTTGCTCTATTAATGATGCTAAAAATTACAGAGCTCTCATTGGGGCTCTTAATTACCTCACATTTAGTAGACCTGATATCTCATTTGYGATCAGCAAGCTCTCTCAATTTATGCATCATCCGTTCGACTMTCATTTGACTGTAGCAAAGAGGGTGCTTCGGTATCTCGCAGGGACGCTTAATTGTGGTTTATTATTTCGCAGAGGCTGCTCTGATTCCCTTTTACTTCAAGCTTATTCTGATTCAGACTAGGCTAGGGATCCCACAGATCGTTGTTAGGGATCCCACAGATCGTCGTTCTACTTCGAGTTTTGTCATGTTCTTAGGTCATAATCCTATTTATTGGGGGGCTAAGAAACAAACAACTCTTTCTYGTAGTTCCACAGAAGCTGAGTACCGAGCTCTTGCCTCCATAGCAGCTGAGCTTTCTTGGATCCGTCAACTTCTTAAAGACCTTTATATTTTTAGTGACAAGCCACCTATATTATGGTGCGATGACGTTTCTGCTATACAATTAGCCCGCAACCCAGTTTTCCATGCCCAAACTAAGCATGTTGCTATTGATTTTCACTTTGTACGAGAACGTATCACTAGGAAAGATCTTGTGCTTCAATACATTCCCACGACACAAGTTACTGATCTTTTTACTAAGTCTCTACCTTCTCCTCGGTTGCACTATCTTCGATCCAAACTAATGCATTCTTGTGCATTTGTTTTGCATTAGTTTGGGGGGGGGGATATTAACTAATATTAGTTACTGTATTGGTTATGTATTGGTTATAAGATCTTATCTAATTTCAGTTACAACATTGTCTATGCATTAGTTATAGGCTAATTAGTTTTTTATCGATTGTATTCTTGTTAGTTAGTTATATTTCAGTGTATATATAATACTSTAATATTCATTCATCAATACACAGAACACATTCTATTCAATTGAGATCTTATTTCAATAGCCTCTATGGATAAAGTGCACATCATTATAGAGGAAAAGCAAGCAAAGTTACCTGAAGAAAAACCACCCGACATCAAACTTACTCTCAAAGATTCAGTAGCAAGGATGAGGAAACCGAAAAGAGAGTTGGAATCATCATGCAGCAAAGAGAAAAATGTAAAAAACATCCCAAGTTGCACTTCAAAGTACGAATCGAACAAGCACAAGCAACTCCAATCACTACTTCCAAGAAAAACAAAAAGGTAGAAAAGAGAAYTTTTGTTTCCTCAACTGAGGAGAATAGATATGCTACAACTATTTTGCAGGAGCCTGCCCCAATGACAAAGAGAGGGAAAAAGATGATGGGTCCAGAGAGGAAAATCAGCCCACAAGCAACTCGTTGGATGAGAAAGAAGACGAAGGAGATTGACTTGCAAAAGGAAGTCCTTTTCCCTCTTGCTCTTATTGAATAACCCCYCATGATATTTTTATTTTATGTTTTTACTTTATGTCGTTTATCTTTAATTATTTTATTTTTTACAATTTAATTTTTCATGTATTCAACTTTAGATTTTTGTAGTTAAATATATCTACCCCTCCCCCAATTATATTTTGAGTGCTTAATGAATAGAAATATGATTGTTCTTGTCTCAAGTGTTCTGTGCATCTTGTGATTCTCCTACTTTCTTAAGTAATAATGTTGTCAGTGCCTCTTTAGTCTCGCTTGCGGGCAGCACAATTTTGTTTCCTGCTCTAGCTTAGGTTCAAGTACRAAAGACCTAACATAAACTAGTGAGTACAATTCAAAAACAAAGAACACTTAGATGATAAGCTTCCATAGCTCACTTATCCAAGCCAGACAATACTTTGGTATTACCATAGAAAAATCCTTTTAATTCACACCCTCTATGAAGTCCATTTACGCCATCTACATTTGACTTGTGAAAAATATCCCTTATGTGACTCCCTTTTTCTTAGTTCGAAGTTTGGGGGTATGCGAGAGCATCCTATATCTGCTTTCAGTCGCATTGGGGACAATGCTACATTCTAAATTTGGGGTGTGCATGCTTGCTTTATTGTTTTTGTAAGGTTGAGCTTGTAATGTATAACTATGAATCTTTTTAGTCCTGTAATTTGGCCAAAAAAAAAAGAAAGAAAAAAAATTCTTAAAGAGACGGTAGAACTAGGAAGGGCTAGTAGCCCATGGTTGAAAAGTTAGGATGGTAATAAAAGGGTAGTGCCTTAGACAAGCGAAAGGGAGTTTGAGAATTGTGTCTCTAGGTGAGTCGTGTTTTTGAAAAGGAAAATAAGACGAAGCTAGAGTTGTAGGAAAGAGTCTTTGCTAGAGCTGAAATAAGAATTTAGCTGCTCTCTTGTAGACGTTTTTAGCGAAAGCAGGTTCGTAGGCTTGAGTGTGTGCTGGCATTATGTGTGAAGGCAGAAAGTAGGACTTGAAGCAAGATGTGCGTCCCGTAGATGCAAATGCTTTTCATATTTCTGAGATGCTAGATTTAATCTTGCTTGGGGACAAGCAAGGTTTTAAGTTTGAGGGTGTAATAACTCTCTATAAGAGAGTGTTTTGTGGCATAAATTGARCGATTTTGGTGTGTAAACGTAATGATCATTGGTTAATTAGCAAGAAAAGAGAAGCATTTAGCTAAGTAGGCACATGAACTGTTTAGAATTCTCAATATCCTTAATTTGGATAAAKTTGAGCTTATTTTTTAATTATTTGGACATGAATTGCATTAATAAGGATGATTAAGTTAAGGGCTACGAAGACTGTTGAGGTGCTGCTGGATCTTGAAAGATAGAGTTTCTATGCTAGAGCCTCAAGCCCACTGAATGCTTTAGCATATGTGACTGCGCAGTAACTTGTTGCCCCAGTTTTTACCGTGTCCATACAGCTTCCATGTGTTGTCCTAAATTTAAGGGCTCGGAGAATAGTGCTCAGCCATCAAAGAGAGGAGCAAAGAACAGAGAATCAATTTGGACATCAAAATCAGATAACATTCCTTACCCATTTTCGAGGAAGAAGCTGACCCGTACTCAATCACTGAGATAGGGAGACCTCTACTGCTACAGAAGCTTCCTTACACAATGGGCTTCATTTATTCTCTACCCATTGTTTTGTTTTCTTTTATCATGAACTAAACCCCACCTTCGAGGAGGATGAACTCGCTGTAGCTCTTGTTTATCTATGTTTTAGTAACTCATCTTTATGTTGATTTAATATAGGTCTTTTAATTCTTTCATCTTACTAATTTTGTGAGGCTTGGGAAAGTCCTTTTGATGCATGTTTACCTCAATTTGTGTTAGACTCCTCTCTTTGTAGTAGAATGATGAATACTCAAGGATGAGGCTCACTCTTTCATCCCTATAAATTGTATGYTTTACTTGCTTATTTTACGATGGGAGTTGGGAATAAGCATGTTTGGGTATCTCCAGAGGGAGCGATGTCTGTTTTGGCATTCAACATTTTGAGCTTACTAGAGCATAGCTAGACATGAGTGAGAGCATTAGAGTGATTCCCCATCGATTTACATTTTTATCGTATCACATACTCACTTCAATTTGTTCTCTGTTTCAGACAACATAGAATCGCATAACATTTATGTTCTTTCTCATTTACCAYCYGTGTCAAAAATTATTTGAATTTGCATGTGGCTCAACTTTATGGGCATACATGATAATGTTTGTTAAATAACCAGACAAGTGACTCCCTCGCCTCCCATATAACAAATATAAATTATTGAAGCTTCAATCATCCTAAAACAAAAACAAAAATTCCTCATTGACCAAAAATTTGTCTAGTTGTGCTAGAATTTGTCTAGCAGGGGTCCTCCACAATGTGAAAGTATCACCTCTAAAACCCATATCAATTAATTTACGATAACCAACCACTTCACAGAAATTAGAGATTAAATTAATACTTCTCACCATAAAATTTAATTTAGATCTCCACCTATCACCACTTAGAATCATCAACTTTATAAATAAATTCTTCTCAAGAATCGTATGTTACATTCCTACGGGGATTGGTCACTTTCTCAATACATTTAGTCTACATAATTAAAATAAAAAACAAATGGGGATTTCATATGATCTAAAAAGAGACACGCCAAGAGCCAAAATTTTAGTCTAGAGACACGTCACTATTGAATCAATACTTAGTCACGGGACGGGTTTAGAAGCAAGTTTGGATGAGCCGAACTATAGAACTAAGTCGATTATGTAATGGAAGCCTCCGAACTTGACTCTAACGTTTCAATATGTAATCGCACAACCGCATTTCAACCTCAACGCGTATTTCACGTTTGAAATTGCATTTGAATCCATGATGCCAACGGTAGTTATCTATTCTCCGTATAAATACTTTGAAATTGAATAAGATGATATTTGAGATTTTTGCATATCGAATCTTGTACCGACAAAACCTTCGGAGTACTAACACCTTTTTCGCAGGATCCAGTTCTAATCTTCGAATGTTCTCAGATATCGTATTGCTTTAATCGAATTTCTCAGTTAAAACAATAAGCAAATTTTTAAGTATCTTTTGGAATATTCCTTGTGGTACAATTAGTAGTTTATACCTATAAAACTTGATAAAATCTTTCTTTTAAGATTATTTCACATAATGAATTATGAGATATATATTATATTTATATGTTTATGATTTCTGACTAGGATAGGGAAACCAATTTTCTTTTACAATATGACTAGACCAAAAGAAACAAGTGTAAGAATGGAATATAAAATTGCTTTATAAAGGAAAAGGAGATTCAAGAGAGAGAGATTTGTATATTTTGRCATAAAGTGAATATGAAATAGAAAAATATTGTGTTTATTGTTGAGCGCTATTTTTTACTCATCACCATTAAATTTTTCATAAATAAGAGAGAAATATAAGAGAAAAGATTTTTTATTATTTATTTAAATTTATTTCAAAAATACTAAAAAATTCTTTTCATTATTTATTTAATTTTTGTTTAAGACTACTAAAAAGATGGGTGCTTAATGATAGMGTAGCATCTAAAGATTATTCTATCAAATATACCAGAAACAAACCCTATGGGTTTTAAAACTATTTTATTTATATATTTTGGCCTTCATATACTTTTATTACATTTTTTAATTCCTAAACTTTTAATTCCATTCTATTCTTTTTACATTTTGTATATTCTTTCTCATAAAAAAATTAAAATATTGTAATTTAAACTAAATTTTACTAAAAAAAAAACTATTTTAGTCATCAACATTAATCTTCTATTGATACTCATTTTACAAAAATCTCTAATTCTTTTCAAATACACTTGTTCCTAAAAAAAAAGATTTAAGTATAATTGATTTTTTAAAATCAYCATCGTAGTCAGACCTTAAAAATAAATTTAAAGTGATTTTAAACTTTTCTAAAATCAATTTTTTAATTTGTCAAACACGATCCAATGAAAATGAAAGTGATTTTGACATGACAAAAGTGATTTTGGCCATGTCAAAACCACCCCTAAACACACACGTATTTTCAACATATATCGATGTGGGTATCTACTCATCATCACATAAATAAAAAAAATATGTTTTTGTCAAGTTTCTATTAAATAATTTAACAAAAAAGAAATTAATGATAAAGGCAAATATAATTTTTAAAGCAAAATTTATTTTAAAGTCTAAGGATTAAAATATAATGGATGAAATTGAAACCAAAATTTTTGTTCCCTTCTTTCACACAGTAGAGTGTAATAAAAACTTTAGCATATTTCTAGATATTCCTTAAAAAAAAARAGGCAATA